AAACCCAGAAATGGACCCAAGGCAATATGCTCAATTAATATTTGACAAAGGTGGAAGAGCATACAGTGGAGTAAAGACAGCCTCTTTAATAAATGGTGTTGGGAAAATTGGACAGCTACATGCAAAAAAATGAAACTAGACCATCAACTTACACCATACACAAAAATAAACTCAAAATGGATAAAAGACTTAAATGTGACCCGTGAATCCATAAAAATTCTAGAAGAAAATGTAGGCAACAAAATTTCGGACATCATACGGAGCAGAATTTTCACTGATACATCACCTAAGGCAACAGAAACAAAGGGAAAAATGAACACATGGGACTACATCAAACTAAAAAGCTTCTGCACAGCAAAAGAAACAATCATCAAAATGGAAAGGCAACCCACTGTGTGGGAGAACATCATTGCCAATGATGTATCAGATAAGGGGTTAATTTCCAATATATATAGAGTGCTCATACAACTGCACAAAAGGAAGACAAAGAACCCAATTAAAAAATGGGCAGAGGAGCTGAATAGACACCTCTCCAAACAGGACATACAAATGGCCAAGAGATATATGAAGAAATGCTCCACATCACTAATCATCAGAGAGATGCAAATTAAAACAACAATGAGGTATCACCTCACACCTGTCAGAATGGCCGCCATCAACAAATCATCAAACAACAAGTGTTGGTGAGGGTGTGGAGAAAAGGGGACTCTAATACACTGCTGGTGGGAATGCAGACTGGTGCAGCCGCTATGGAAAACAATATGGTGTTACCTCAAAAAATTAAAAATTGAATTTCCATTTGACCCAGTGATCCCACTGCTGGGAATATACCCTAAGAAGCCTGAAACACCAATCAGGAAGAATATATGTACCCCCATGTTCATAGCAGCACTATTTACAATAGCTAAGATCTGGAAACAGCCCAAGTGTCCATCAGTAGACGAATGGATCAAAAAGCTGTGCTACATATACACAATGTAGTACTATGCAGCGGTAAGAAAGAAAGATCTCTTATCCTTTGAGACGACATGGAGGGACCTGGAAAGTATTATCCTAAGTGAAAGAAGCCAAGCAGAAAAAGACAAATACCACATGATCTCACTTATATATGGAATATAATAAACATAACAGTCTGAGGAATACAGTAGACCCAGAAACATGGATGTAGGGCACAGACTGACATACCTCAGGAGAGGGGGTGGGGGGTGGGAAGAGATAAACCACAGAACTTATATGCATGTATGCATGACCAATGGACATGGACAACCAAGCCGGGGACGGGGAGGGAGTGGGGTGGGGAGGGGGGTGCCAATGGGGTAAAAAAGGTGAAATATCTGTCACAAAAAAATAAATAAAAAATTATTTAAAAAAAGAAAAAAGAAATAGAGGAAGATATAAAATAATGGAAGCACATACCCTGTTCATGGATTGGGAAAATTAACATCATTAAAATGTCCATATTACCCAAAGCAATCTATAGATTCAATGCAATCCCCATCAAAATACCAACGGCATACTTCACAGTATTAGAACAATTATTTCAAAAGTTCATATGGAACCAAAAAAGGCCTCGAATAGCCACAGCAATCTTGAAAAGGAAGAACAAAGTTGGAGGGATCACAATACCAGATTTCAGGTTATACTACAAAGCCACTGTAATCAAAACAGTCTGGTACTGGCACAAGAACAGGCTTATAGACCAGTGGAACAGAACTGAAAACCCAGAAATGGACCCAAGGCAATACGCTCAATTAATATTTAACAAAGGTGGCGAGAGCATACGGTGGAGTAAGGACAGCCTCTTTAATAAATGGTGCTGGGAAAATTGGACAGCTACTTGCAGAAAAATGAAACTAGACCACCAACTTACACCATACATGATAATAAACTCAAAATGGATAAAAGACTTAAATGTAACTCATGAATCCATAAAAATCCTAGAAGAGAGTGTAGGCAACAAAATTTCAGACCTCATACACAGCAGAATTTTTACTGACACATCACCTAAGGCAATAGAAACAAAGGAGAAAATGAACACATGGGACTACATCAAACTCAAAAGCTTCTGCACAGCGAAAGATACAATCATCAAAACGGAAAGGCTACCCACTGTATGGGAGAGCATAATTGCCAATCAGTTAAGGGGTTAATTTTCAATACATATAGAGTGCTCATACAACTCCACAAAAGGAAGACAAAGAATCCAATTAAAAAATGGGCAGAGGAACTAAATAGACACCTCTCCAAACAGGACATACAAATGGCTAAGAAACATATGAAGAAATGCTCATCATCACTAATCATCAGAGAGATGCAAATCAAAACAACAATGAGGTACCACCTCACACCTGTCAGAATGGCCGCCATCAACAAATCATCAAACAACAAGTGTTGGCGAGGGTGTGGAGAAAAGGGGACTCTAGTGCACTGCTGGTGGAAATGCAGAATGGTGCAGCCACTATGGAAAACAATATGGTGTCACCACAAAAAATTAAAAATTGATCCTCCATTTGACCCAGTGATCCCACTTCTAGGAATATACCCTAAGAAGCATAAAACACCAATCAGAAAGAATATATGCACCCCCATCTTTGTAGCAGCACTATTTACAATAGCTAAGATCTGGAAACAGCCCAAGTGTCCATCAGTAGATATACAGAATGTAGTACTGTGCAGCGGTAAGAAAGAAAGATCTCTTATCCTTTGAGATGACATGGAGGGACCTTGAAAGTATCATCCTAAGTGAAACAAGCCAAACAGAGAAAGACAAATTTCATATGATCTCACTTATTTGTGGAATATAATGAACATAACAGTTTGAGGAATGGGGTAATCCTAGAGACGCAGAAGCGGGGTACAGACTGACAATCCCCTAAAAAGTGGGGAGGTGGGGGAGGGTTGAACCACTGAACTTATACGCATGTATGCATGAACAGTGGACATGTACAACAATCTGGGGAAGGGCAGGGAGGGGGGGGGAGGGGGGAATCAGTAAGGGAAAAAAGGAGAAACATCTGTAACAAAAATTAATCAATTAAATAAATAAATAAATAAATAAAGAATTACTGCTCTGCCCTGTCTGGCTCAGCAGTTAGAGTGTTGGCTCGCAGACCAGAGAGTCTCGGGTTCGGTTCCTGCTAAGGGCACGTACCTCGGTTGCAGTTTTTCCCCGGGCCCAGTTGGGGTTCTGAGGGTGGCAGCCAGTCAATGTGTCTCTCTTACATTAATGTTTCTCTCTCTCTCTCTTCCTCCCTCTCTCCCTTCTGCTCTATCTGAAGATAAATGCAAAAAAAAAAAAAAAAAGTCCTCGGGTGATGATAAAAAATTTTAAAAAGAATTATTTGTAACTATTTTAAGTGTCATGTTTAAGAAAAAGTTCTTAACCCTTAGAGATATATATTTACACATTAAATTAAAATGAACAAGTAGACCTATTTTTACCCTCTCACAAAGAGACACTTCTATTTTGATCTTCTCCAACTATGATAGCCTCTAAATCAAGTATTAACAACTTTGAACCTACTTTTGAATTGCAAATCACAAAGTATTAAAGCAAGATTTTAAAAAGAAAAATATGGCTCTTACTATATTCCTGTTACTGTGAGAGCAGAATGGTTTAGTACTTTAATAAATAAAACTTTCTTTGTTGTTGTTAATCCTCACCCAAAGGTATTTTTTCCATTGATTTTTAGAGTGGAAGGGAGGGTTAGAAAGAAAGAAAAACATCGATGTGAGAGAGACACATTGATTGGTTGCCTACCAAACTCACCCTGACTGGAACCAGGGATAGAACCTGCAACCCAGGTATGTGCTCTTGCCTGGAATCAAACCCTCAACCCTTCTGTGCTCAGGTTGATGCTCTAACTTCTAAGCTACACTGGCCAGGGCAATAAATAAAACTTTTAATCCGGCCATTGTGGCTCAGTGGATTGAACATCGTCCCATGGACTGAGAGGTCCCAGATGGATTCCTGGTCAGGGCACATGCCTGGGTTTCCAGCTCGATCCCCAATAGGGGGTGTGCAGGAGGCAGCCAATCAGTGTCTCTCGCATCGGTGTTCTATCTCTCTCTAAAAAATCAATAATAATAAAAATATATAAATTTAAATAAACCTTAAAAAAAACTTTTTAATAGTTTTTATTTCCTATTTAACGTCCACTTAAAACTTCTTTCTTTCATGATGTACATTATGTTAATGCAGTAGCACATGGCATGGAGGTATAGGAACAAAATTTCATACTAGCAGTTGGGTCAGTCGGAAGTCTCAAGGCCACCTGGATTAAAGGAAGGCCAGTTGAATTAGTGAGAATAGTTAAAATCAGTTTTGTTGCTTTCAGCAGTTAGTAACTATAAGTAAACTAATAACTACTGAGAAACAAATCTTTTAACCACTTTAAGCCTGTTGCTAATTGGTATGTTCATGTCATCATGATATTCAGCCAATATTCATTGACTGCCTCTGTGCCAGGGACTCTTAAACATGAATTTTGTTAATCCCCCAACAAACCTACAGCATCTCATATTGTTACCATAACTGAAGAAACAGACTTCAGTATGGAATGAAAGCTGCCTAATATCACACAGGCAATACTGTGTAATTGCAGAAGAAGGATTTCAATGCATGTCTTTTTTTTTAATCCTCACTTGACAATTTTTGATATTTTGTTCAGATAGAGTGGGAGGGAGAGAGAAAGAGAGGGAGAAACATCGACATGAAAGGGACACATCAAGTGGTTGCCACCCACACGACCCAACCAGGGCTGGGGACAAACTGCAACCGAGGTACATGCCCCTAGCAGGAACCGAACCTGGGTCTCTTGGGACCACAGGCTGACGCTCTAACCGCTGAGCCAAACTGGCCAGGGCAGAACTGCTTTTCTTAAATATCTTAATTTTGACAGAATTATTCTGTCGGAGCTAACGTACTAGATTTGGTACCAATTGCATTTCACATGTAATTATATTCTGAAATTGATGGAAACATTGTTTTTTAAATCTAGAAATACTCCCTGGGCTTTTGAGAAAATAAAGAAAGCAAGCGAATGGGTAAGAAGAACTGAAGGACAATATCCATCTATCTGCCAAAGGCTTGAATTGGGTCAAGACTGGGACTGTGCCACTAAACAACTATTGGGAATCCAACCAATGAACACCAGCTCTCCTCTTTATAGAGCTCTTAATTGTGGTCAAGGCTGAATCAGATGAAGTTGTATTTTAAGCTTTTTTCATGCTTCTATCCATAAAATAATAATATTAATAGATACCTATAATGAAATTTGATTATGATTTTATCAAATGTAGCAATAAGTCACTTAAAAATAAATGGAAACAGAATTGATTATTTTAATGAACAAACAATACTAAAATAAAAATTATGGTATTACAGATTTCTTGTGTTTAAATGTTTTAAGGTTATGAAAGACATATGTGGACTAGTTAGAATGGGCCATGTGTTCTGGAAGGGGGTGGAAGTGGGGAGGAGGAGATGCTGTGAGTAGAGTTCTTGAAGTGCCACTCCTCTGGGGAAGCCAAGCAGAGCAGTGAGGGTACTTTCTTGCTGAGCAGAGAGCATGCCATTGGGAAAGCTCCTGCTGACTGGCTGGTCCCAGTTCCTCTCCAGGAAAGCAGTGGCTCTCACTTCAGAGATGTGCCCAGCCTTCACCTGCATCACACTGCAAAATTCCAAAATGGTGGTGGAGTGAATGGAAGCTACACAGGACCAAACTGGAATTACAATTAAAATAAAGACAAATCTTCAGGAAAAACCAACAGAAAAAAAGCTGGAGAGGACCCATATAACCATGAACAAGAAAAAGGACACTGAATCAAGCCTGCTAGGTCTGCAGAGGTGCCAGAGGGCAGGCTGGAAGCCCATAAACAGCAGCTGATTTAGCCATTAGCAGCTCCCTGAGGGTTAAAATCTCAAGCTGGCTCCACAGTTCAGAGGGCTGGGACAGAGCACTAAATTAGCTATAGCCCACTGGGTTCTGGCAGAGGGCAGGTGGACTGGACTGGAACCTTGTGGGGACACTCAAGATTTGAAGGGTGCTCAGAGTTTTTGCAGAGTCATGGCCACAAAGAACAGTGCCATCTTGCATGGGGAGCTCTTTCCTGGAGCTCTGGGGAGAAACAGAAGTCCCTTCATCAAAGATTTAACCCCATTAAGCTGGGCCAGAGAAATGCAAATTGAGGCTCATTAACAACCAGCATCTACTCGACCCTCTGGAAATCCTTTTACACTGAACACCCGAGGAAGTTTTTCATTCAGCTGAGAGCTACAACCCAAGGCTAATCAAGTAATTGAGACTAATAGCCTCCAGGCCAAAAGCTAGAGGATATCTGAACCTTTCCTGGGCTTGCAAATCTACCCAGGAAAGTAAGACTTGACAATGGTGTTTAATGTGGGTTCTCCCACACTCATCTAAACCCAGTAGAGGGAACCACAAACTGCAGAACACTAACACCCACAGGGAAAATTTGACAGGCTTCAAAACCCACTGAGAGCCAAAATGGTGAAACAAAGAAATAAATCCAAATAAAAGAACAAGAGAATCACTGAAGATGAGATAAATGAAATGCAGTTAGCAAGTTATCAGAGGTACAGTTCAGAGCCATGATCTTGAGGAAGCTCAACAGCATGAGTAAGGAGCTCAACAGCATGAGTAACGATATAGAAACATTGAAAATTAACCAATTAGAAATGAAAAATCACCAGGAAGAAATGAAGAATGACATAGCAGAAATAAAGAACACACTGAAAGGAATAACCAGCAAAGTAGAGGAAACTGAGGACTGGATCAGTGAATTAGAAGACAGGGTAGAAAAAAAATCAACCAATCAGAAAACCAAAAGGGAAAAACAATTACAAAACAGGAAGACAGCTTAAGAGAACTGTGGTACAGCTGGAAACATAGCAACATTTGCATCAGAGGAGTTCCAGAAGAAGAAAAGTAGCAAGAGTTAGAGAATATATTTGAAGAAATAGTGACAGAAAATTTCCCTAACTTGGTGAAAGAAGAAGGCATTCAAGTTCAAGAAGCACAGAGCACCCTGGCTGGTTTGGCTCAGCAGTTAGAGCATTGGCCTATAGACCAGCGAGGCCCAGATTCGGTTCCTGCTAAGGGCATGTACATTGGTTGCCATTTGTCCCTGGCCCTAGTGGGGTCATGTGGGTGGGGAACACTCAATGTGTCTCTCTCATGTCCATGTTTCTCTCTCTTCCTTCCTCTCTCCCTATCACTCTATCTCAAGATAAATGCAAAAATGTCCTCAAGTGAGGATTAAAAAAATTAAAAGAAAAAAAGAAGCAACAGAGAGCCCCAAGTAAGAAGAACCCAAACAGGCCCACACCAAGACACATAATAATTAAAATGCCAAAAATTAAAGACAGAGAGAGAATCTTAAATGCAGCAAGAGATAAGCAACAGGTTGCCTACAAAGGAAACCTTATAAGGCTCTCAGCTGACTTCTCAACAGAAACACTACAGGCCAGAAGGGAGTGGCAGGAAGTAATCTAGGTCATGAAAAACAAGGATCTGAATCCAAAATCACTTTATCCAGCAAGGCTATCATTCACAATAGAAGGTGAAATAAAGAGCTTCCCAGACCAAAAAAAAGGCTAAGGGAATATATTAGCACCAAACTAGCACTGCAAGAAATGTTAAAAGGACTGCTATAATTAGTAGAAGAAATAGAAAGAAAAATATAACGACAGTAAACAAAAATGGCAATAAATAAGTACATATCAATAATAACCTTAAGTGTAAATGGATTAAACACACTGATCAAAAGACACAGAGTAGCTGATTGGATAAGAAAGCATGACTCATCTATATGTTGTTTACAAGAGACCCACCTCACAACAAGACTCACATAGGTTGAAAGTGAATAGATGGAAAAAAATCTTCCAAGCAAATGAAAAGGAAAAAAAAGCTGGGGTAGCAATACTCATATCTGATAAAAATAGATTTCAAAATGAAGACCATAACTAGAGACAAAGAAGGCCACTACATAGTATTGAAAGGATCTATCCAACAAGAATATATAACCTTGGTAAACATCTGTGCACCCAATATGGGAGCACCAAAATATATTAAAAATCTTCTGGAGGACTTCAAAGGAGAAATCAACAGCAATACAATCATAGCAGGGGACTGCAACATTCCACTGACATCACTGGATAGATCCTCTAGACAAAAAAGTAACAAGGAAACAGAGACTCTAAATGAAGCACTAGATCAAATGGATTTAACAGATATCTACAGAGAATTACACCCCAAAACTGCAGAATTCACATTCTTCTCAAGTGTACATGGACATTTTCAAAGATGGACCATATGTTAGTACACAAACGAAATCTTCTCCACAAGTTCAAGAAGACTGAAATCTTCTTGAGGAGGCTGGAGGAGGCGGCCAAGTCAGCAGAGAACTGAAAGGCATGGGGCTGGAAAGTGGGGACCAGAGAGGGCAGCAGGAGGGCTTGGCCTAGAGAAGGAAACCAGCAGTGAGGGGCAGGGTTACTAGGCTGGGAGTCCAGGTGCTCCTACATCTGGGCCTGGAGTCTGAGAAACACACCAGGGGCCTCCAGTCAGACTCAAAAGGTTCTAGAGCAGCCCACCCTTCCTTCCCACAGTCCCTGTGATGGTCATCAACATGCATTTCCAATTAGGGGCCACCAGAGCACTGCATATTGACCTGAATTTGGCGGTGTGGGGGGGTGTCACAGGTACCTGGTGGTCTGGTGGGGGACCCAGGCACTGTGTGGCTAAAGGGGCAAATCCAGGTGGCTGGGGAAGAGGAAGCAAGGGAGGCCTGGAAAGAGACTTACCTCACAATAAAACTCACATAGGTTGAAAGTGAAGGGATGGAAAAAAAAATCTTCCAAGCAAACGAAAAGGAAAAGAAGCTGGGGTAGCAATACTCATATCTGATAAAATAGATTTCAAAATGGAGGCCATAACTAGAGACAAAGAAGACTACTATATAATACTGGCTGGGAGGTGGCTGGACAGGATGACTTGGAGAACTTGGGGGCTGGTCAGAGGATAGTTCTCAGGGGTTGGGTCCTGTAGCAGGGGAACAGGGTTCAGTCCTGGCTTGGCCAGAGGGCCTCCACACTGGATGTAGAGCAGGAAAGATACATCAAGCGTGACATGTTTTTGTCTTGGGCAACTGGGTGACATGGGCAGGGGCCCCTTTCTGGTAGTTCCCCTCCTGGAGAGGGGGCAGCACAGTGCTGCTGGCCTCTGTCAGGTTTGGCTTCAGCTGTTCAAAGGGACCTTGGGGGTGGCTCCCCAGCAGAGGCCACCTGCGTGTTCCAGTGGGGATGGAGAGCCCCAGTGTCTCAGTGGGTGCAGGTGGAGCCAGTGATGGGGGATGACTCCCAGGTGAGGCTGCCCCTAGGTGAGGAGGTGGGTCAGGTGCATAGGCAAGGGGCTGGTGGTGGGTCAGCAACATGTCTTCACAAGTAGCAGCTCCTTGTGGAATATAAGACTGCACAAGGTCTGGGGAGAGAAGAGGAGGTCCATGGACTGTGCTCCAGGGACCAACCATCCTGAGGAGATAGAGGAGCCAGGAGGCCTGCGACCAGCAGCTGCCCCTTAGAAGGAGCCACAGGAGGGGTAGTTCACATTACAGGTCAATGTCAGCTGGCACCCACCTGCCTGTAGGGTTGGGGTTTGGTGGATGAACAAAATATAACCTGGAGGTATGTATTCATGTGGTCTGGCCAGCCAAGGACCAAAGTATACATGAGAATAGGTAAGGTCTGCACGGTGGGTTTGGAAAGCAGCCCTGAAAGTATCCATCTGAGTGTGCATGATAAGGGCTGGAATGCCGCCTGAATGTACAGTGTACATGTGAATAGATAGGTCTGCATGATGAGCTGGAACTCACCCTGAACATGCCCAATGGGCTTATCGCCCAAGCGTGAATGTATGTGTTATGTATCTGCACTGGAAACAGTGAGAGACAGCTGAAACAGGAAGTATGCTGGGCTTGGCTGTGATGTCTCAAGGACTTAATTACCTAAAGCACCATGGAACTCAGGGAACCACTTTGCAAATAAACTGGGCTGCATCCAGGGATCTGGAGCATTTGCTCCGTTGTGATGTTCCCCTTATCCAAGCTTGTAGTTCATTGTGTTGCAACGACCCTGGGCAGGCTCAGAGAGTCAGCCCTGCTGCTGGAGAGAACACAGTCTGGGGTAGAGCCCAGGTACCTGGAAGCTGAGGATGGAGCAGGAGGTGTGGTGTCCCAGAGTCCATTGGCCAGTGCCAGCTCAAATACCTAAGGTTGGCCAATCAGCTCCCTGAGGGGGTGGGGCT